TCAGACGGAGACATTTCTAGATTTGGCAATGATTTGTGGTCCCCAAAGCAACCCTCCGGGGTAGGGTCTTGTTTGGAGTATTGAATTTCTTTTGCTCACTTAATCTTTTTCGCTTGTGGGGGTGATCATAAAAAAGGTGGTTGAGAACCACTGACTGACCTTCTCCTTGCTCTTGAGGTCTCAGGTGTCATTTAGGCCCGTTCGCCTTCTGCTGTTACGGTTTTGTCTTCTCCTAGGCACATAGGTGGTGTGCCCAGCGCTCACTCCCAACCTACCCTGGGATCTGAGATTTGGGGTACTTCTGCCCACGTCTAGACTGACCACCCTTCCTAGGCTGTCAACTCCTTTAGAGCTGAAAACACATAGTAGAGAACCTTGAATTGCCTGCAGCCCCTCACATGCCCCTCACAAGAGGGGGCAGGGAGTGAAGACTATCTGAAGACCCCTGCCAGGAGCAGCCCCTGTGCCAGCTGTTGATTAAACAAGCTCTTGAGCAGTTTTGATGTCAGGACTTCTAGAATTACTGACTGCTTAGTCCTTGGGAGATACTAAGTGAATTTCAAAAGTGCCATTACTTCCTCATATATGTCCGTCGTTACCTTGTAGATTACTCTGGTAGTCTCCCCATGAAATGTTTTTAAAGCCTCTGCTTCCTCATTGTAGGGGTGTCTGGCACACACCTGTGCCTGTGAAAGGGTAGGTGAGTGTCCTGGGGGCATGCCACACTCCCAGACTTAGTTAAACCAGCACACCTTCCTCTGTGGTGTGTCAGCTCTGCTGGTTTGTGCTGCCTCCAAGGGACAAACCCATTTAAATCCCTCAGTTTGTATTCCAAATTCCAGGTTCTGTATGGTGACAGTACTCCATGAAGGATAGCTTGGTGCCAATGGATCCGGTACAAATAGCAAATTAAAAACCAATTGCATTCAACACTCCAGTTACTTAAAAAGTTGCGATGAAATATTAATTTTTGTTGCCTATTCATTAAAAGCTCTTAAAAATTTCCTCAAATGGTGGGCTCTGACCACATTATCAGAGTTAGGAATTTTGAAAATTGATCTCTGACAACCCACCCATAGCTTACCTAATTGCTTGAACTGAATTCTAAATGCCCTTTTACATTTTTTCCCCCCAATCAGGAAAAAGGCCTGTGTCGTATCAACACCTATCCAACAGCATGCTACAAAAGAGAAACTATGAGAATTTTATTGGGAATGCACATTATCGGCCAAATGACAAAAAAACTTGATTTCCTATTTTGGGGAAGGAAGGTGAGTATATAATGTACTGATTTGTTTAATTGAAAATAAGCCATCTAGCTTATCTAATATAATAGAAAGTAAAATTGTTTTTAATTTTAATTTCAAATTTTTAAGGTGTCTTTATGTTTTAAAGACAGAAACAGTAGGATCACAACTGAAAGTAAGCATTTATTTTGTGCTAGGCATTGAACTTGGTCTCATTTCATCCTTCCAGCAGGGGGCAGTAGGTCAGGCATCAGCAAATCGTATTTTCTGCTTGTTTTTGTCAGTAAAGTTTTATTGGCACCTGGCCATGACCTATTGTCTAGCTGCAGAGTTGGGTAGTTGTGACAGGAACAGATTATTACTGACAGATTACTTGGGCTGTGCACTATAGCAAGTCAGTAACAGCATAGGCCGACTGTCCTGTTTGTCCAGCACTGGTTTTTTCCTGCAACCTCTGGGCTTCTCTGCTCTCATTTCCTGCTACCCAGGCCATCCTTCCTTCACCCTCTTTTTTTTTTTTTTTTTTTTTTAAAGTATGTTTTTATTGATTTTAGAGGGGAAGAGGGAGAGAGAGATAAACATAAATGTGAGATAGAAACATTGATTGGTTTCTGTAAGCACCCCAACTGACCAGGGACTGAACCTGCAACCTGGGCATGTGCCCTGACCGGAATCAAACAGGCGACCTTGTGGTGCATGGGAGGACGCTCAGCCAGCTGAGCCACAGTGGCCAGGGCCCTGCACCCTCTTGTCAAATAACCTTTCTAATACTTCAGGACCAGCTCACATACCTTTTCTTCAAATGTTTGCAGAGATCCAGGGGCTGCTTCCCTATTGGTGTTGCTTCTGCAGGTGTGGTTCGTGCCCATCTCTGCCCGTCTTGCCTGTGTGTCTGACTTCCACCGCTAGCTGAGCTCCAGAGCAGAGTCCTTCGTCTAATGCCCACCCATTGCCGCAGTGCCACTGATAACTTGGTAGATGTTGGCTGAACAAATAATGTTACAAATGTTTTACGTACCTTCTTGAGGATGGAGGTTATTATGAGTCACTTGTTTTGTTCACGATTCCTGGTCCTCCCATACATTTTCCTCTCATAAGGTAGAAACTTGCAGAGTTTGTTGGAGGTGGCAGCTGGCTTTGCAGACGTGAGTGTAACTTATGAATTCTGAGTCTTGGTTCAGTCCTTTTTGCCGAATCACAGTTTTACACCTATGACCATGGAAGTCATGTGGCATTCATTATCTGTCATCTATCTGTATCCTCTGGTACCTCATTGCAGAGTCAAGAGCTCTGTGGTTCTGTTTCTTTACTATACCTGAGCTTGTGTTTTTTTAAAACCGTCTTCAATTTTAATCACTCTTTAAACCTTTGTTTTCTTTAGGTCTTGATGGATGTGTGTGCTCCCCGTGAAGTTGTTAGTTCATCCTTAGAGAAAGCGAGCAGTGAAAGCTACTGAAATAAGCTGTGATTGTACTGTACATACGACGCAAGGAACACTACGTGCCGCAGAGTGGTTCTGTTAACTTTTGTACCAAATAGCAATAAAAACTGTAGTTGGAACAGTTGGGTTGTATACAAATGGAGAATGGAAATCTCTATTTTGTTCCTGAATAATATTTTTTTTTTTTAGAGTTGACCAAATAAGGGGTTTTTGCATACTTGAGCGCTGCTGAAAAGAATCATTTGGGGTGGGGTGGGGAGAAAGTATATAATGCTTGCACCTCAGGTAAAATCTGTATATACATAAGTTGTACTTGCTTGTTTCAATACCCTGTGTATTTTTCTCATGTAGCTCATCACTTTTGAGCAGTTTCTGCTATTTCATTTAAAATGTACGTTTTTAAAAAATGTTCTTGATGATTTGTATTATGTTAAATTGTCTACAGTCTGTTGTCTTAAAATTGTTAATGGAAGTATTGACCCTCTGTGAATGTGTGCCGCGTATATCTAGCTCAGCTACTCGGATTTGGTACCCTTTTATCACAAATATTACTGTCAGCCGAGGAAGAGCCGCTCCACGGTCCTTTTTGGGGATCAGGTGTTTGTGGGACGGTTAAGTGTCTGCAGAGCAGCATTTCCTCTGTGGAGCAGCCAGCTGTCCAGCAAACACACCAAAGTGTATGTGGAGCTACTGAAATTAGTCTCAAATGAATCATTTTTGTTGGAAAATTCAGTTTTTTAGGCATTTGCCTAAATTAGTAGGTAAAAAGTATAAATTATACATGGGATATACAGATATTAGAAGCAGTTTTCAAGGACATGAGTGTTTTGGGGTAAATGTTAGGTTTGTATTTGGAAGTCTTGGTGCAGCTGCATTGGAGTCAACAGTGAGCACATTCAGACACGTTGGTTCTGAATCCAAAGTGCCAGCCGAGCCTCCTGCTAACGGGGAGGAAATGGCCTGTTTCTGTACCTCCTCTGTCTTCCCATTTTTGGTTTTAAAGCAGCATTTTCTCAGTACGCATCAGTTTGCGTTTTAGAGGATAGCCACCAGTTGGCTTGCTGGGTGTTTTAAAATTCCGGCCCCTTGATGGGCAGTCCGTAGCTGAGCTTCAGCAGTTCCTGGGTTTAACAACCACAAAACATTTTACTAAGAAAACTATTTGAAAAATAATTTTGCACTGTTAATGTTTCTTGTCTTGAGGGTAAAGTCCTAACCGCATCCTGATTTTTTTGTTGTTTTCATTATGCAACATGAAGCGTAATTGATCGTGAAGCCAACTCCCGTGTGACAGGGAGACTGACTGGCGATCAGCCTGCTGGCCTTGCCGCAACGTGCTTCGTATCAGGAAAGTGTACACTATTAACCCCTTTTCCTGTTCACAAGCTGAGCCATATGTACAGAATCTAGGTTTTTGGTTCCATAGTTTTGCACTTTTATAGCCTATTTTTGAAGATTTAACACACGTGCGAAGATGATTGACTTGATCGTTGCTAATCCAATGATTGTTACAGAAAGCTTGCTGTGACTATAAGTGTAAATCTTAAAAGGGGATATATCAGAGTAGAGGGCTGAAACTTAAACCTGTATTTAAAAACAAATCACCAAATCTATGGGAAAACAAGTCAGTTCGTGTTATGCTGAAATTATGGGGGTTTTCATATTCTCCTTTCTAACCACATTTCTAAAAGCATAAAAATACCAGTTTTTTTCTTTTCTTACAGCCCTGTATTCCAAAATATGTTGTTGTTATTTTTTGTCCATCAGTATTAACTATTGGGATACTACTGGTTTTGTATGTTTTTTTTTCTTTCAGACAACAGTGCATATAATAGAGGTACAATCTGTTGGATTTTGTTTATGTATTTATTTCATTCCAGTTTGATTTATTTTAATTGTTGATAAGTTGTTAAACAGTAGACATTACTTGTTTTATTTATGATATATTTCAGCTTAAAGTTATGTTATTATATGTGGATGTAAATATAGATTTGGTGTTTTGCAGCCTTGGTTTCTGATCTTTATTGTGTTCCCGGTTTCTGATTTTGTTTCGTTTAACTTTTTATAAATACAATTTTAAACGTACACGATAGTAGTAAGATTAGTATAATGGCTACCCCTGTCCTGGCAGCAACATTTTGTGTTTTTGAGTATTTCAAAGCAAATCTCTGGCATGATTTAATTTCATCCCCAAAACTCTTGAGAGTATGTATCTCTGACAGAGCCTTTCATTTCACACCTGGCTGAGTGGCCAGGGTTCCTCCTAGCCACCTGCCATCGTCTCACAGCTGGTAAGTTGCAGCCAGGGTCCAGACAAGATACACTCCAGTTTAGCTGACAGGTTTCTTAAGCCTGTTTTAATCTAACCCTCCCCCTGGGTGACATTTTATTCATTGAAGAAACTGGGTCATTGGTCCTGTAGAAGGTACCACATTCTTGTTTGGGTTTCTTGCATATCTGTGGTTTCCTCTAACCTGTTTCTCCAGCCTCTGTGTATCCTATGAACTGGCAACTACACCTAGATGTTTAAGGTAGGTTGGAGCTCAGTTTTGGGGGCAAGGAGGTATGGACTTCTGTGGTGTCACCACTGGACACACAGCATTGGGCCTCCCAACCTGTAGTGGTGAGTTTGACCCGTGGGTTCAGATGTCACAGCGGCCTTTCCCCCCTGGGTTTTAGCAATCCTGATGAACATACGGAATGTCACAAAAGGTGATTTTTATAAGTTCTATCATTCCTTCTGCATTTATAGGTTGGAATTCTATGAAGACCTCTGATTATTTGGGTCCTCTGACACACAGCTTAAACAAAAAGGGCTAAACCTCGATTTTCTCCTGTGATTAACCAGATTTGGGAACAAGTTGGTGGGGGCCCAGCATCTTCCAGACATGACTGGTGAATGCACTTTTGAATTTTTGTTACGACCTCGTGTGGTGCGTTTGGAGCAACTGCAGGTGTCATTTTGACGCTCAGTCCCGTTTGGCCAGCAGGGCTCCTCTAAGTTGGCTGTGTTTGGGACAACCATCTGAAGGCTTCTTAGCTTTTTGCGATGTCAAGATGTTCTGAGGTCATCTTGAACGTTTCTTGAGATCCAGGCCTGGAGACTTCTGCAAGGACCCTGGGCTCCACTGATTGGAAAGGTGGTCTGGGGAAAAGGGGTGTTCATTACAACCGGTGGTTTCAGCTCCTGAGCTGAAATACATCAAGAAGAATATCTCAGTCATAATACTGCTGTTTCTCATTCAAATTTAAGATGGTGCTTTTACTCCTTGATTTCATACTTGATTTTTCTGGAACCCTGGGTTGCTGGGACTAACATAACGAACTGCATCTTACTACATGCGACAAGTTATGATGCCAGTATTATTTGCAACATGATTACTAGATGAAGCTTTCAAAAAAATTTCCCCCCACAGTTTTACTTGTTTATAGCAGTGGTTTTCAACTGTGGCCCCAGACAGCAAAACCATCACCACTGGGAAATGGTTAGAAGTGCAGATTATCAGGTTCGCCCCAGACCTGCTGAATCAGGAGCCTCGGGCGGGGCCGGCGTTATCGAGCCTCGGGTGCTCACTGGCCCCTGCCCGGGGGACAGTCATGTGGCAGAGCCTGAAGTTGCCTGGGTGCCGGGTGCTCCACAACGTCACACGCTGCCAGATTCGTTTTCTGTCTTTAGACACTGCTTTGCCTCCCCACCCTTTTCAGTATTTTGTTACATAAAGCATACTTTCATAGTTAAAACTATAAAACTCAGGTATATTCAGAGATGTCTAGCTTTCCACCCCTTCACCCTGATTCCTTTCTTCTATAACTTTGTTTTAAAATATGTTTCTATTGATTTTTTAGAGAGAGCAAGGGAGAGGGAGAGAAACATCATCGACTGGCTTCCTCCTGCACGTCCCCTACTGGGAATTGAGCCCGAAACCTGGGCATGTGCCCTGACCAGAAATTGAACCATGACCTCAACCACTGAGCCACACCAGCCGGACTGTAAAGTAACTTTAAACATTAGTTTTTGACTTCTCCTTCGGTTGCTTTTTGAAAGGACAGGCCCACGCAGGTCCTTCTATTCCCTGATATGAAAAGGAGCACACACTCCACATTAGTACAGCTGGTAACGTGGCTGCTTCCTTTTTTCTTAAGAATGAAAGAGCAGCCCTGGCTGGTGTGCTCAGTGGTTAGAGTGGAGGCCCGAAGACTGAAGGTCTTGGGTTTGGCTGCCCGTCAAGGGCACGTACCTGGGTTGCAGTTTCTTCCCCGGTCCTTGTTGCGCGTTCGGGAAGCAACCAATTGATGTGTCTCAAGTCGATGTTTCTCTTTCCCTCCCTTCCATTCTCTCAAAATTAGTGGAAAAAAATATCCTTGGGTGAAGATTAACAAACAAAAAAGGAAAGAAAGAGCACAGTTTTCTCCTGAAAATCGAATGACAGAAAATCTCATTTGCAGGGGCAAGTCCTGGCCCGTCCACCTGGTTTTACTTACTCAGCCCCAGCCATTGGCCTTACCAGGTGCTGGGCGTGGGCTGGGCGTCGGATCTGCCTCCCGTGAGCCCAGGTTCCGATTCCTCCCTCCTGGGGCTGGGTGCTGGGTGCTGGGTGCTGGAGATGGACTGAAAACCGGCCCAGGACCTGTGGTGACACGTTGGGACAGTCACACGGGCTTGGTGGTCAGGCTAGGTTCTAAACACGTAAAGGCTTCCCCTACCCCTCTCGTTTATTATGGCAGCTTCAGGGGACTTGGCTTTCCTTCTGGAAAATTCTAAGGCCCTTTCTCTTTCAGCAGTGGTCTTGCTGGTTCGGACCTGGTAACACTTTAATTTCAGATAATCCACATTGAAGTGCTCATGTGTCACCTGCCCCCCAAGCCTCCCCAGCTCTCTGTTTGGTGTTCATTCCTTCCAGCACTCAGCACTGCCTCGGTCAGGGTGAGCACCCCGAGGGCAGACATTTATCTGTTTATCTCCTGGGTTTCGTGAAGGGTTTGGCGGTGCTAATATTTGTTGCTAGGATGGATGGATGAGCATACGAGGCTGAGAGGGAGTCCGGAGTTATCTCAGAATAACCTCCTACCTTTGAGATTATTTGCTAAGTTACTCTGCGTGAGCATTTCCATCTATCCATAGCAATAACTGGAGTGGCCCTCAACACGTGGCAGTTACTACCCGCTGCTCGGGTACCAAGTGAGGCGAGTTTTACCCAGAGCACGATGTGTGGGGGGCAGGTGTTTTAGAAGAATCGCAGGTGTGTAGGATCTAGAGCCCTTGGGTCTGGTGGGCTTTCTCCAGGGTGTGTGTGGGTGGGGGGGAGAGTGGTGGAGGTGGCTGTAGGGCAGTTTGAGAACCAGATTATAGGAGATTAGAGATACGGGCATACCTCACTTTACTACACAACACTGCATTTTTGTTTGTTTTTTTTACAAATTGAAGGTTGTGGCAACCCTACATTGAACAAGTCTATCAGGGCCATTTTCCCAACAAGCTCAGATGATGGTTAGCATTTTTTTTAGCAATAAAGTATTTTTAATTATTTTTTATGTGTCTTGGCCGGAAATTGAACCTCCAACCCTGGCTTATGGGAATGATGCTCTAACCAACTGAGCTGCCCTGCCAGGACTAAAGTATATTTTAATTAAGGTGTGTACTACGTGCCAGAGACAGCGCAAGGGACTTACATGCAGTATCTTAAGGTGGCCGATTTATTCTCACCATTTTACAGGTGAGAAAACTGAGGCCCATAGAGGTGAAGTAACTTACCCATGGCTGGTAAAGGGGTTGAACGAGGTTAGTGCTTTTTTCCTATAGATAGGTAGCTGGCTGCAGTTCATATGTGAGTTTTGTAAAAGGTGGGTGTTTTGGTGCATCTCGCAGAAGCAGTAAAGTGGATCCGGCTACATTTGGAACCCGAATCGTCTCTGGTCATGAGGTAGGGCACCAGCACAATACATGTCCACTAGATTGCATGCGGGAGCGGCGTTCTGGAAGACAGCCAATAAATGAACCCTTTGAATAATTCGAGACTGTTTTTCCCTAAGAACTAACTGACCAGCGACCCCAGACATTTTAGCGCTAGAAAGTGTTAAATAAACTTTGCCACAAGGCGGCGCTGCTCCAAACAAACTGCATTTACTTGTCCCACCAGCTTTTTGGGACAAGTTTTCCAAGGCAGACATTTGCGTCATTGCCAATGCTGCAGGAAAGACGAGACTCTGTTAATACGACTTTATTGAGATATTTATAAAGTTTTTATAGTTCATCTCACCAGGAGTCTCAGTCTTGATGCTCATGACCTAGTTTAGTCCTTGCGCTTGGCGATGGGAACACTGAAGCCCTTATTTCCGGCACCGCCCAAGCCCCCTGTCATTCCTTTGCCGGCTCCTGAGAGCAGGAGGATGTTGGCGGAAGGTCCAGCTCAGGTCCGTTACCCTGGCAGGGCGGGGTCCAGTCTGAAGGGAAAGGAAACTAGTCCTGGGGGAAGGGAGCCTCGCTCAGGTGTGGCCCCCGGAGCCCCCGGCCGGCTTCCTCTCCACCCCCCGCCCTGTCTCCGCTTCTCCCCCACCCCAGTCCAAGAGGACTCCATGGGACCACCAGCTTCCCTGAACTTTGAAGTGCAGACCCAAGTTTAATGCAACAAATATCCCCTTGGGTGTGCCGCAGGATGTAAGTCATTCTGATTTCAGATTTTTTAAAGCACAGAAGGGGCGGTGTCCAGGCACCAGGACACTGATAGTTCGGTACTTTAATATGGCACAGGCGCAGATGCTGCGAGAGGAACGGTAGTGCACCGTGGCATATCCTCACAGTAGGTCACAGCAGGAGGGTGGGTGGCCCACGGTCATAACTGTGAATGGAAAGTGCCCGGCACCGCCTTGGCCAGTGTGCTGAGTGGTTAGAGGGTCTCGGGTTCGATTCCCGGTCAAGGGCATGTATCTGGGTTGCAGGTTCTATCCATGGCTGGTCGGGGCCTATGCAGGAGGCAACCATTCAATTGTCTTTCTCTCTCCCCCAT